GGAGCTGCACAGCTCCCATCTTGACCAGGGCTGCATCTGCCCCCCGTGAGGGTCTCGAGGTGCTGGGCCAGAGAAGATGTAGGAATATATTTTAATCTTGTTGACACCAGATCAGTGGAATGCCACTGACTTCACTGCACCCAGCAGGCAGGCTGTGTTAGAGCCAAACACGTCTACACTTGCACCAAAGGTCTCACTGCATATAGCCATACTGACAGCAAGGGGCACTTGTCACCACCCTGCTCAGGGCTGAACTCACTTCGCTCCCAAACGAAAGGCTCTGTGCAACAGCTTCCAGAGAGAAGTGAGACTAAACTGAAATAATCCAAACACTCTTTTTCCCAAACATCCACTGCAGAAAATCTTACTGCGTTTCAGAAAAAGAAAAAAAAAAGAAGAAAAAAGAAGATAAAACCTTTTTGAAACCTTGTTTCCATTCAGAGGAGATACAAGAGCATGCAGACACATACACCTCAAGTTCAAGCTGCTTGCACACCACTACCAGCTCTGTTTCCCCAGCTCTCACCCCTGAGCACAGGCCAGGGCACATACACTCCCAAGAGCCAGCTGCAAAGCCATGCACTCTCCCTTCAAGCCCTAAGCATCCTTCCTATGTAAGGCTTACTCTTTTCTGGCTCAACAGCAAGTCAAAGACTCACATCCTTAATGGAATAAACTGGCACAGTGCCATCCACACTCACTGAACTACTAATTTCTTGCCGTGGAGAGTTTGGTGCCAGCTTCCTGAGCCTGGTGCATACTGTCAACCCAGATGGTCTAATGGCTGGCATTTAAAAAGTGACAGTAGCAACAAGCAATCCAAATCAACCAGACCTGAACTCCAGGATGGCCAGTGGCGAGTGAGCTGAACTGACAGAGATTCCTGGCTCTGAAAGTGCTCCCACAAACCTTTGGCAGATCATGTAGTCTCTCACTGCCCCTCTCTGCCTGCATGACTGATGCTGCACACACACACACCTTAACGAGCACCAGACAGACATGAAGCAGAGATGGGGAGGTAAAGTCTCATTTCAAAACACTCTACGGTATTTCTGTGCTACCGAGTGAGGAGAACAAGGTAGCAGCTACTCTCTGCTCAGACCTCTGACAACAAGAAATCAGCATCTTCCTTCCCAGAGCAGGAAAGGGATGGTTTTCCTTGGCGTCTCTGAGGGCTGCTGATTAACTCAAAAGGAGATTCCAGCCCTGCAATCCTGCAGAGGGAGGACAGCAGTGACAGCAGGATGGCTGAGAAAGCAGGAGGTGCAATGAAAAGATCCATCAGGATCTGAGCAAGAAGGGACAGCGCTGCTGCAGCCTGCATCTCTCCTTGTTGCACACACACACACGCACGCACACACATGCACGCACATACACACACCCCTCTAAAAGAAGTAAAAAATTCCCCCCAGAGGAAGCTCACATCCTGCTGTTACTGCATGCTCTCTCACCTGATGCGATCCCCATCCTTTTTCTTTAGCTCTGCATCTCTCTGCAGAACCTTCATCAGCTTCTCATACTCCTCCTCGGTCAAGAAGCTCAAGTCCAACATCTTCCCTGTAATCTTCTTCAGTTCTTCGGAGAGCTGAAGCAATGACACACCAGGAGCTAATCCAGCCCAGACTGCTGCAATGCCATGGGCAGCCCCTGTGCAGCCGGCCCTGGTGCTCTGAGCGAGACGCGGCTGGTGAAAAAGGACTTCACAACAGCATGGCTCGGGTGGAAGTTGCGTTAGCACCTGGACTTGCACTCCCAGGCTCTTTGCTGGCACATTTCTTTGCACTGCATGCTTTCCCCTGCCAGGAAAATTCTCTCAGCAAAACTGTGCTCCTTCGCTTTTCTTCAGGCACAGTTGCAGCGATTCGGAAGCCAACGTCAATCAAGCAGGCGAGCATGGGAAGGAGCGAGCTTCCCACCCGCCTTAGCTGCCTCAACAGGCACGAAAGCTCATCTCACCAACGGCAACCCCAGCACCTCTGGCATGCGCTTTCCTCAGCGGGGAAGTCTGCCTCCGTGGAGTTCAAGCATCCCTGCAAAGAAATAACACCCAGATGCCTTTTATGATAAGCGTGACATATGGTAACCGAATGTGTACATTGGGGGTTTTTATTTGTTCTTCAGCACAAGTTCCAAAACAAGCTGCTCTACTTTTCTCCTTGTCCTACAGCTCCTCACATGGTATTAACCTAACCAAGACAATATTTTATTTTAGCTGCTTTCCTACTAACAGGTAAACAGCTGACTCAGCATGCTACAAGCAAAATATGCATTTAAATTAGCAATCTGCCTGTTTTTTACCTCCATTCTTTTCCTCACTTCTTTTGGCCCTCAATGAGACTGAGGATAAGCAGCCAACCTTCGTAAAGCATTTGGAAAATGACAGGACAGCAACTTGCAAGTGTTATTGCTGCATGTTATGCTATAAAATACCAGAGGCTGCTCATTTTCTAATATGTGTGCACTTTGCTTTATGCTGCACTGATATTTGCTATTCAAACAATACAGGTACAGATCACTCAGTGTTTCAACAGACACCAAAAATGGCCAGAGGCTGCAGGGTGTGGAGGAAGAGTAAACCATGTGCTGCTTTGCTACTTTATTCCTTTTCCTGTCTCCTGGCCAACTTGAGAGCAATACGACACACCTCTGAGGGAGCAGAAATTCTGCTTGTGCCCGTGCAGGCAGTTTTCTAGCTCACCAGATGGGATTTTTCCACTGTTTCCAAGCCTGCTGGGTGACTCTGGGTTTCATCATACTTGACTTTTTCTCCCAAAGCCCCAGCCTTGGGAGTCAGGTCATTAAAAATGAATAAATCCCAGCTTTCACGGCAAACGTGATCTGAAGGTCATCAGGCCCATACCCTAACCTCAAGGTCTTGGTCTCTGTCTGTCTAATCCACCCCTTTAGGAATGGCAGCTGCAGCCCTCCCAGACCACCTGTTTCAGTGCTTTGCTAACCAGGAGCAAGCACCTTCTTCCTGTTGTCTGCCCCAGGTCTCCCTGAGAGATGCCAGCCCAGCCGATCCACCACAGGGCTGCTCCCTTTGCAGCCGTCCTCACAGGATTTTACACTTCAGCCTCCACATTAACCAACCCCAGCTCCTTCAGGTTCCTCAGAGCTGGGGTCTTCATCTTTTTTGTCACTCTCCTTTGGACTGTCTTCACATGTTGCACCTCTTCCTCCAGCTGACATATCCAAAGTGAAGCACAAGTATTTCAGCTGAATTTTGCTCATTCGACATGTTTCACAGATTTGCTTTATTTTATGGATGATACATTCCCAAATGTTTGCATTTTTCATAACGGTGTAACAACACGCTAGATGAAAGAACAGGCATCTGACCTGAAGTACAAAGAAACACCACAGAACACCGGATAAAAAGGCTTGTAAAAGGAACGGGCACTGTCATAAAAACTCTGTAATTATTTGAAAACATTTTCTGGAGGGAAGGAAACATTTCACATTTATTTGAGGCAAGTATGGGTGATGTCACACTAAAATTATAGCCTTTATCATCTGAGAAACTACTGATACCACTTTAAATAGTTAAAACAGAAACAGTAATACAAAGCCTTGATGGATCTCTACTGTTTAAACCTACATTTCATCCAGCTTGGCACAGCACTGCCATGGCTGGTTCCAACCATCTCCTCTCTCTCTGGCTCACAGGCACAATCCCACTTCTACAAAGACATTTACAGAAATTTCTGGCACGGATTTTATTTTTTAAGAAGTATCTAGGGACACAGTTTTCACAGTATTTGCTTCTCTAGAACTTTTATTTATTTTTAACAAACCCATGACGTGTGGGCTGAAAGTACTTCACAAAACATTTTCAGCGAAGACTCATATTTATTCATCAGCATGGCAGTCAATTAGAAAAAGAATTAAAGGCTACTTCTTTGTAAATAGCCTTTTTTTAAGCTGAGAATGTTTTATCTTACTGGAATAGTTACATTAAAAGAAAAAGGTTAACAGAAACCAAACAGCCAACTCCTCCTTCCATTTTAAATAGTTAAAAACCAAACCACTTAATGCACTTGCCATGGGAAAGTGAGCTGGTCCAGAAGACCGCTCCACCTGGAGGTTTTGCTGGCAGTCCTGGGAGCTGCAAAGCTGCTGACTCAGCCCTGCAGCAGTAAACAAGGCTGGGAAATGGTCACCATACGCACCACGGCCATGGGGCTGTCCCTGCTGTCACTTGAGCTTTTGCAGCCTCTGATGGGTGCATCATTCCACCGTGTTTTGGCTGCTGCAGAGGCTTCGAACAAGAGAGCCCCGCCATTAACCACGCAGGTACACAGCGATAAAGGAGAGCACGTTATTTGTTTACTTGGCTCTGCAAGCACAATAGATTAAGGATAAAAATCAACTGACACGTACAGTACGCTATCAGGCAGGCAACACTGTGCTGTACCTAACCATTGCCTGCTCCCCCAGATTGCTTAATCCTGGAGCTGAGGCTCACGCTCCTTAAGCAGCACCACACAGATTTGATTTGCTTTGTTAGATTGCACATAATCCTCTCCCCTTGGAAAGCGCTGTTAATAAACAGTTTGGAGACCACAGGGATGATGCAGTACAAACACCTAAACCAACTGATCTGTAAGAAAGCCAGGACCCTCAACCCCATCGGTCTCACATGCACGGGGCCACTCTGTGTGTCCTGCCCAGCCCTCACCTCACCACCTCTGCCAACACCAAGGAAGGGAAACACAAAAGCCTGGCAATTTGTAGGGCAATTATGGGAGTCACTGGGCACCGTGGGGACAGGGTTTACCCTGGACTGAGACCTTTATTAGCCTGCTGATGCAAACTGGTTTTGGACAAACTGTGACAAGCAAAAAGAAAGTTGCATTCTCCTTCCCTCCTGCTGGTGGGAGACCCCTCCTAGGTCAGGGTTGCTCTCTGGAAACAGGATCAAAATGGAGAGTCATGAAAGAGCGACTTGCTTGTGTCCAGATTAGCAGTGTCTACTTAAAGACTGATGCACACCATGCAGAGCAAACTCAGGCTGCTCTCAGGTGCCGCAGCACTACGATGCCCCAGTGCAGAGGGAGCAGCCCTGCCAGGCCCTGCCCCTTGTCACAACAAAGCAGACAGGCAAAATGGGTTATTATGGCTACAGGAAAGACCATAAATCTGAGCAGAGGAGCACACGGGATGTCCAAAGGACTTTCTTCCCTCCAACTGCTTTTCTGGGGAAGAGAACATCACAAAGAGACCAACTCACACACCCAGTCGTGTTGACAAATGCTGGGTGTGGAGACAAGCAGAAGCATGACCTATCTAATGTGGCATAACTGGCTGCATCTCTTATTGTGATAGCTTTTGATTTCTTGTGGCCACCACCCCAAGAAGCAGCACCAGTGAAGATCCATAACGGTGTGTTATGGTACTGCGCAGCTTGTCAAACTCAGAGCACAAGCACGGGTGGAGACATGAGGCCTTGTCCATTAAAACAGCATCCTGGGATGTGCGTGTCTTATCTCTCAGCGGCTTTTTTCAGTGTAAGAACACAGGAAAGGCCATACATGGCCAGACTGGAGGTCCCTGCAACTAGTTTATCTTCAACCAGGACCAACAGCATACCACTAGAGAGAGTACTGTGAGCCATCCTGTGCAAGGTACAGGGCAGGGACTCCCTGAAGCAGGAGCAATGTCTCTACATTCCGCAGATTTTTCAAATAACTTTCTGAAGTCACATTAATTTTAAGCATTTGCAACATCCTCAAAGTCCCACAGCCCCACTACGCTTTAAATGCAAAAGCACCTGCCCTCGTTTTGTTTTGCTCTGCCACTCGCTTGCTTCATTTGATATCCTCTAGTGTTTTAGTAGAAAACCCAGTAAGGATTACTCTGCATTCACCTGCTCTGTGTTGCTCACTTTGCAGCGCTGTGTCACAGCCACGGTTTCTCTTCCAGAGGAAGGCAGTCTGTTGGTTGCTCATTCCAGGTGCTACCCAGGGAGCTTCAATCATTCCTCACACCCTTCTCTGCCCCCATCTAGCTTACTACAGCACTGCTAAACAGTGCCTGGGTGCAAAAAGGCTTTCCCAACAGCTGCAACCCCTGGCATCTTCACCTGCCAGACTGGTTTTGCAGTGCCAGGAGAGGTGGTGTAAGCAGTGCCCCGCTGCAGCTCTGCGGCCAGGAGGGAGACAGGCAATGCCAGCCTTCACATGGGGCACAGCTCGTGGCTCTGCCAACTCTTTGGCAAGAGGAAAGCTCTGATCACCTACAGAAAAGCTAAGAGGGATACTAGTAAAAGGAATAAGCCTTCCCTTTGTCAGCTGCTCGGACTGTGCACCAGCAAAGAGCAGTACCATTTAAGGAGAAAAGCAGTCCAGCATGTTTTGGAGCTGACAGCCAGGGAAAGGCCAGGTACCGAGCATGGATTCAGTCTCAGAGGGAGACTCTTGTTTACATCAGCCAAGACGTGGAAATTTGTTACCTGTCCAAAACTGCCCTTTCCCCCTTTAGCAAAGCATCAAGCAGCAGTGTGACATGCATCCCCCTAGCCCCAACCCAATATCCAACCCCTAAAACTGA